GCTGGTGGATGAAAACCAAGCCTGAGTTAATGCTGCGTTACCTTTTTCTCTCTGAAATTATAAAATTGCCCTCCTTATCATCTGAAAAAGGCAAATTGACTTTCATGCTATAAAAAAAAAATTTATTTCCTACAATACTACACTTTCAATAATATTTACCTAGATACTATAAATTTAAAAGTTGGCCTAATTAGTACCGAGTTTCAAAATTTTTTTTGTCAAAAACGTACGTAGTATTTAACATAAAAAAAATATCTATCCCATCATCTTTTTCTTCAGTCTATTTTTTTTTTTGTCAAATATAGAACTTGGCTTCTATCAAGCCAAGTTCTATTTAATTTAAAAAAAATTAAATATATATCTCATCTTCTCTCTCTTCAGCCAAGTTCTAATCAATTATTTAGACAAAATTTAAACCATACAATCATTATTTCAATATTATTAACTCCATTAAAAACTAAATAATCAATTGAAATCTCTAAAAACTCAAACTATATTAAACCTTAGGTTTGCTATCAGCAAGAAATCAAAAACCAAAGAAAGTATGTGATTAAGAAAAATATTTAGAACACTTATATAGTCTAAAAACGTTTGAGATCATACTCAACGTATCTATTATGGAGCCCCATCTTTAAAATTTTGCTCACTCTCTGTCTTAGTTTCTCACTGTGCACCGAGCAAGAGGAAGACAAAAAGAAAGAAAGAGGCAGTGATGCGCGCAAAAGAAGAAATGGGATTGAAAATAATAAAATAAGTTAGTTGGCTCCACATTTCGGTATCCATTCTCTCTTTTCCTCTTTTTTTTTTTAAAAAATCTTCTTCCTTCTTTTCTTTTCAAAAATTAATAATCTATAAACCCTCCCCACACATACATATTATGTAATTTTTATAGTACTTTCTTAACATCTTAAAAATTAAACTCTACTAGTTTATTTTAATAAACACAATTTTTTTAATATTTATATGATTATAAATTTTTTATTTAGATTTGAGGAGTAAAAATAGAGATGTCATAATAACTTTGTGTGATTCATAATATCCTGATTGACAATTTTAGAGATCCATAGTAATTTAGTATCACTCATGGTATAACCTAAAATATGTTAGCAATTTTATTATTTTTATTTATGATGATTTAGTATTACTCAGAACATCTCATTTAATGATTTTAGAGATTTATGATAATTTATTCGGTTAATCCAAGCTTCTAATGCTATATTAGACATTAACATTTCAATTTCAATTGATTAGGGACTTCAATTGATTATTTAGTCTTTAATGAAGTTAATGATGTTGGAATAATTATTGTATGATTTAGATTTTGCCTCGATAATTGATTAAAACTTGGCTAAAGAGAGAGATGAGATATATATTTAATTTTTTTTAAATTAAATAGAACTTGACTTGATAGAAGCCAAGCTGTATATCTGCTGTATATCTGACAAAAAAAAATTGGCTAAAGAGAGAGATGATGGGATAGATATTTTTTTATGTTAAATAGAAGTTCTATGTACATTTTTGACCAAAAAATTTTGAAACTTGATGCTAATCAGGCTAATTTTTAAATTTATAATATCGAGGTAAATATTATTGAAAGTGTAATATTGTGAAAAATAATTTTTTTTTTATAGCATGAAAGTCAATTTGCTGACGAAAAAAATCTTCATCCTCTTCCTTTTTTCTCCAGCAAACTCGAGAGAGGGAGGGAGGGAGGGAGGGATGCTCTGATCTGATTAATCCATCATTCTTCCTCTGCACCTTCGCCTCTTCCTCTACGTTCACAGCGTTACCCAACGTGAAGGTCCGCCTCAGCTCCGTCCGCCTCTGATCCGTTAACTCGTGGCTTTTGTTTTCTTCTTCCTTCTCTGCACCTTCGCTGTCTTCTCTTCCGTTTCAGCCGTCAACGGCGCCGACGTGAGTGACCCCACTGCTTCATCCGTCCGCCATTAATAGGTGCTGGAGTTCGTTCATCGCTGTTGTGCGTCTACCAAGTTCCCTCTGATCTCCCTTGCTCCAGCTCGTGTCTACTGTGAAGTGTTGAGCTCCTACTCTTCTATCGCTGTTGCTGGAGGCTGAGGATGGTCGAAAAACTTCAATCTTGCAACTCCTCTATTCGTGCATCATTGTAGATGCTGCTGTTGGCGTGTGAGTTCTTCTTCCTCAGTTTCGATCAGCATTCTTCTCTTCCTCTTCTTTATTGTTGCTGATTCATGTCTGAAGTTTTGCACCCTTCATTTCGCTAATTTCGTGTGTGGGCATTCTAATGGTTGAAGTTACAAAATGTTAGTGTGTTTTTGCTGCTGTTCGTGCTGTTCTAAGGAAGAGGAAATTGAAATGTTGAGCTGGAAATTCATCTTAAAGCTTGATAATAACCTACATGTGGCCATAATTTTTTAGTTAAATTAATTTGTTTGGAATGGTTAATGTTGAAGCTTACTAATGGTATATATATGGCTCAATATATCTAAGCTGAAATTATGAAGAAAATGTCAATATTAGCTTAACAATTTATGCCCATATAGTGTTTGATAAAATGTTTAGTAGGAGAGTTTTGGTTGATTTTGCATTTTTGAAATTTAATTGATCTTTGTGAGAAGTATGCTAATTTGGAAATTATAAATCTACGAATTAACTTGTAGATTGCTAAAGAATTTAAATATAATTTGTATGTAATCATTTAAATTCTTGGGGAATTGTAAGGTTATCATTAAATTGTTGAATGTTTTAAATTGAATTGGTAGAAATAATGCAGCTAAGGTATTTGGTACAAGACCTAAGAGAAAATTATGTCTTAAAATAAATTGGAGTAGATTAGTGATATGAATGATAATACTTGGACTAACTCTAAAATATGCATTTTGGTTTTGGAATTTTTAAATGACAGTGATTGATTGAAATTGTGTAATAAATTAAAAATTTATTAAAAATTATATTTATTTATATCCTTATAGGGTGTGCAAAAGAACAGAACCCTGACAAAAATTAAAAGAAGAATATTTTTTGGAATTGAAACTCCAACAAGTAAATGAATAGCATCCCAATTAATTATTCAATAATAGTCTTTTACTGAAATATTTTTCTTTTATGAATTATTTTAGTTTAGGAGTTTATGGAATAATGAGAAAGGATAATTGAATTATGAGACGTGCATTTATTTTTCCTCAAGAAATATACTTTTAAGATTAATGAAGGCATCCTTATTTATTAAACTCTAAAGTTTCTTGTTTATTCAATTAATGCAAGATTGTATATTTGCTATAAAGTATTATTTTAGCAAGTTTTGATATTTGAAATAATTTACACAAGTTTGGCATTAAGAATGAAAACTTTTCTTCAGAAGTAATTATTTTCTCGCATGTTTGAGATGTGTTTTCTAAGATGACTCTAAACAGAACATTGGTGTTAACGGCATATATAGTTGCATTGGGTGGAAAATTTGTGTAATGTTATTTTCTTTTGATGTAAATATTTATTACTCATGCATTTCAATTTAGAGGTGTGATTAGTTGCTCCACATAGGCTATAGTTATAGTTCTATTTTGATTCATATACTATTTACTTGTTAGAAAGAGCTAAACTGCTGACTGATATTATATTTTGTAAAAATTTTGTACAATTTTCAGGAAATCCTATTTACAGAGAAGATTCTGTCAAAAATTTTACAAAAATGTTGAAGCTTTGTTAAACAATTAATATTGATAGTGTTAGAATTTTTATATAATCTAATTATAGGAAAAAAAGAAAACGAAATAAATTTTTATTTTGAGGCTTGTGAAAATGTGTGAAGTGATTCACTCCTGAGTCGGTTATCCTCTGTTTTCAAGACATGACAAATCCATATGATAATTATCTATTCAATGTAAACTGGACACTCAAATAGTAGTTTTTTTCTAAGGCAAACAAAAAGGGTAGGTTCTGATAATATAATAAGAGATTATCTCTCCTGAAACATCAATAGTATTTTTTTTAACTAAGTTGCCATCATATGATCCTACTTCATGATATACACGTGTTCATTAATTGTATGGACTCATGTCTATGAATAAATTACTTTGGGCTCTGAGAAAAGTCATCATGTCACCGAGCCCATTTACTCATTCTGTTATAAATTTTCACTTGGCATATATACTATTCTAACATTAATGGTAGCTAGAGGGAAAAAATCATGGAAACCCATTCAGTATTCATTGATTCTGATGAGCACGCATCATGAAAATGCATTCGGTACTCATTAATTTTGCGTGCTCATCACCCTATAGGGGTAATTTGAGCCTTTCATTTTTTTTTAAATAATCTTTGTTGTTGATTCAAAATTATTTTTTTAAATATTTTTATATTATATTTATTAAAAAAATATAAAAAAATTTAATATTAAATATGAATTGTTTTTTATGCTTATTAGAGGATAAATATCATAATACTCATTACCTCTGATGAGATATGGCCAATCCAAATTTAAGTTTTTTATTTTTTTATATTTCTTAAAATAAAAATATGTAAAAAATAGAAATTTTAATAAATATATTTATTACCAATCTGGCCAATATAAATTTAATTTAGATAATCTAATTTAATTTTATTTTTAATAATTTTTATAAATTGACTATCCAGATAAACTCTGAACAGTACATATATAATTTAAAAGGTTTAATTTAATATTAAAAATTTTATAATGTTAACTAATTGACCATCTAGATATATTGTGGATATTTCATATTTAATATTATAGTTGTTCATAATTTTTATTTTGATAAATCTAATATAAAATATTTAATAATTTTAAATCATCACCAAAGATCATTTGAGAGAAAATGAAGGATTTAGATCATCCCATAGGGGTAATGAGCACGATGCTCATCACCGAATGAAGTTCCCAAACATCATACGTATAAAGATTCATTACCTTTATATGCATCTTTCTCTCCCCCATTCATTGCCTTCAATGAGTCTATATATCTGCTATTTCTAGATAAAAACTCAATTTTTTTGGATAGAATCAGTTAAAATTTCATACCATTGTATACATAAAAGATACTATGGCCAACACAATCTAGTTGACAACTAAAACCTGTTGTAGTTTAGGTCTGAACATGCACAGCAATATGGCTTGCTTTTGCATCAAAGATTGCATATACAACATTATTCATACAATTATGCTCTTGGAGACATTCAGTAGTACCTAATTCTCTTGCTAACATCTTCATCATATACCAAATAGATAGCTGTTTTTTTCACTGTTAATTCACATGCAAAAGTGACCATAACCTCCACTCTGTTACCAGGCTCCCAATTAGAAATAATGTTTTGCCACTCTTCATCCTCCGAAGTAGTTGTTGCATCTTTCTCGTACAATTTAATGGTAGCCTTTGTACGATTTGATACCAAGACACCAACAGGATATAATGTCATGCTGTCTTGAGAAGACAAATAGGTAATGCAAAGAATCATTCCTTTCAAGCTCCTGCCAAATATTAGAGGCACTTCAAACAATACTGAAGATCCTTCACCTTTGAAACTTAGCCACTCAGGATGATTGTCGTTGGGAAGAGAACTGTCACCAAACCCTCTTTCACTGCATCCCTAAACCATGAAAATAACGAAGACTACCAATAATAAACCGTGTACAGAAAAAGGTATGCACATAAATGGGCACTCTTCAATTACAAATAATATCAGAACTCCTACTTAAACAAGTATATTTAAAAATACTAACTGAAATCAGCTTGATTATGTGTCTAAAGCTTATCATCAAATTAGTGATGAGTACTGGGAATTTAAAGTCCTGAGTGTGGTAGATTTGTTTCCAAGTGTATTGAAGTAAGGGTTTCTTTTTTGCACAAATCGAAGTAAGGGTTTCTAGAAAACGTCAAATATACATAGTACATTGTTGCACATTTAACAGCATTCGATGTTTTGACCGAAAAGAAAAACGCATTCAATGTTGTTAAAAGTATAATTAATGTACATTATTATTGCGCATACATAAAATCTCAACAAGGTAATGGCAATCAAATAAATAATATTTTAAAAGCCACTGAAACAAATATTTATTACATAATATTAATTTCCCAATATATGTATGGTGTGAATTAATTCCTAAATAGGAGTCCAGTATAGCATGATGACTTTGTGGGAAAATGTCAAATAAACATATATATTGGGAAATTAATTCCAGCGAAGACGATTTTCTTAATTTTCCCCATAAATAATTAAATATGGGTGTTTAATATATAATCATCAGCTAATTCTTGACTGAACATCTTTATTCAAACAAAATAGGAAAAATACATAACAACAGAAAATAAATAAACTCTTCCAACACATATATAGTTTCCCCTTTTACCTTGATTCTAACACACAAGTTTATTAGTGTAAATAGCTAGTTCGCAGTGACGAAATGAAAGAAATCATATTTACATTTTTAGGTGCTTCACAAAGCTGAGCATGCTTTCAAACTTTGGGGTTCAAAAACAAATTAAGAGACAAACCTGCAAAATTTTCTCTTTCAATATGTCTGCTTTAGTGCACAATCCCATTTGAACTAAAAGAGAATTGAAGGAGTCTGTTGGACTTCCAATATGAACTTGGTCATGACTCTCAGATGATGAAGAAGCTTCCCTATGTGAGAGTTGTGGTGTATGTGAAGTTGATTTCAATTCTACAAAATCTGTCTTAAACAAGGCATCCAAAAGTCTAGCCATTTCTCCACTGGATCGAAACTGTGGTCGGTACTCCTCCCACATACCTCGAAGCCTAGCAAGATCGCCCAGAAATGGAGATAGGCCCTGGAAGCTACCATTTTGTACAGCTGAGAAAACTAGAGTTGACATGCTCTGCAAAAATGTTTCACTATCGGACTGGGGAATGTTGGTGGGTGACATCCAAGAACATAGGAGAGAAGGAAATATATCTTGTGCTCTTCCTTCATACCCACACAAAGATACATATCCATGTACAAGCCCTTCCAATCTTGCTAATGACCTGGGTGCTTGTGTTATGGCAGTATTATCTGCCATTAGAGTGGTCAAGGATTCCATCTGCTCAATATCTTCTTCTAAATGGTCAATCTTTAAACAACCGGAGAGAATGAGAGTTTTCAAAGATTTCAACCTGTAGATACTTCTAGGGAGTTCTTTAAGGCACTTGCAGTCCTTTAGATTTATCAGGAGAAGATTTTTTAGATCTCCAATGCTCTCGTGAACTACCATTAAGCTAGGACAATCTTTCAGCACCAACTTTTTGAGGTTTGGTAGTTTAGTAAAATCAGGAGTTCGTGTCAAGTAATGAGAATGACTGAGAATGAGCATTGTCAAACACTGCAGCAACTGCAAAGAATGAAGTTTCGTATGAAAAATTAAACAAATTATATGGCAATTATTTTATTGTCAATAATTTTAGGGGCTTAAAACATTTAAAAAGAAAAAAAACTTTATACCTGAGGCTTCTTCCAAACTCGTCTGAGGTTGCTGTATTTAAAGTCAATAACAACTAAGTTTTCTTGATACAAGTTGTCAGGTGTGGATTTTAAAGGAAATCCTTGCCAACAAAGCCACCTCAGCGTTTTGGGAATATGCTTATAATCTCCTTTAAGATTTACATTATAATCTAGTTGGAGCAATCTGAGCTTCCTCATTGCCTTGAATGCCTCAGAATCAATTAGACACTCTCTATGGGTTCTTGGCAACTTTAGAGATATACCCTCAATAGTTTTTGTTCCCTGTAAATACAAAAGGTAAAAATGTTTCCAAAAAACGAAGCCTTTGCTAGTTTGCTGAGCGAGAGACAATACAGAAACTTGTATGACTGTAATAGAGGATCAATATACACTCTTAATTGGGGCAGTAAAAAGAACATTTTTTTTTTGTTGAGAAAAAACGAATGCATAAACCTTGACATCATAGCTTGTGAATGAAAATAGTACGTGGAAGAAATTCTTACAACATGTCCTTTTAACACGTCAAGAACATCTTCATGAAACCACAATCTGCTGCGATCCTCAGGGTCCTTTGGTGGGCTTTCGCGAATGATTTTTCTTCCCATATCACGTAATAAGTCATGCATTTCAAGCTTATTATGCATATTAACATTTATTAGGCTACGTTCTATAAGGATTTCTATTCCAATTTCTGCATTAAATCCACATCCATTTAATACCTGCGTAACATAGTTCCTGTCCTTATTGATAAAAAAGCAACAAATGTCAAGGAATATATTCTTCAGGCTATCATCCTTTAAACCATCAAAACTTATTTTTAACTTTGATTGTATTTCATCATCCGGAATCCTTTCCAGAATGGACAACACATGATCCCACACTCCAATTTCTCTCCCAAATAAATGAGAACCAACGACTCGAAGAGCAAGTGGAAGTCCTCCACAGTTAGCAACTACACTTTTAGAGAGTTCCATGAATTCTTTTGAGGGAGTTTCTTGCTTGAAGGCATGCCAACTGAACAGTTCAAGAGATTCAGTTTCATCCATTTTTCTCACTTCATATTTGGAGTCAGCTTCAAGGGAATCAAGCAGATGCATATCTCTAGTTGTGATGATTATTACACTCCCTGGACAAAACCATTCACGATTTCCATAGAATGCCATGACTTGGCTCAAATTATCCACATCATCCAATACAACAAGTGTTTGTACCTCGGGAAATCTTGTCTTAATTATATCCTTTCCTCTGTCAATGTTTGGTATCTTGAAAACTTCTGTCTTAAAAATATCAGAAACGAGTTGCTGTTGCAAACTAACTAAGCCATTAACATGCTCTGCATTTTCTCGGATATTTGCAAGGAAACTACTCTTTTTTATAAAGTGGTGACCAATTGCATTGTGAATGGCTTTGGCGACAGTTGTTTTGCCAAGGCCTCCCATCCCCCAGAGGCCTATGATAAGAGCTTTTTGTGATCCCTTTGTTACCCATTCTTCTGTCAGTTCATGAACTCGTGACTCTATTCCCACTGGATGGTCAGCAACAAACAACTGTCCCTCGTCTAATTTTTTATACACATCCTTGACAATTTCCTCAACTAGCCCACTCTCAAGCCTGTCAATATTACATTTCCAACAAACAAAAGAACTGAGGACCATGCATTAAGAATATGAAATTGGACTAACTTGGGTATTATATATCTATATATATATATGCATCATAGACTCATATGGAATCTATGAAGCACTGGACAGACGACTAATCATTTCAGAGGGCAAGGGAACATGTGGGCCGTTGGTGTGATTTTCTGGGGAAAAAACTACAAAACAGTCGGATATTGCCGGTGAAATATTCTCTGAAGAAAATAAGGCGTTCTATTCTTTATATATACACGAAGATAAGAAATCTAAAAATTGAACATGGTTATTTATGTTCATATGGTAATAAATTTTGAACTAGAACACGCTTAAATGGTAACACAACTTTAAATAACAAATTATTTTTCTCATTTTTAATATGCATAGGTAACAAATTATAAAATAATTTGAGAAAGAAACAAATAGTTGTTTATATTTTTAATATAAACGGGGTCACATATTCTAAAATATACAAAATAACTTATTATTTATATTGTTAATATATATGAGTAGTAAATTCTATAGTAAAACAAGTTATTCATAAAATTCTAAAATAACAAATGTTTTAGATTTTTTCTTTTCATAGATATGATAATTTATAAACTAAAACAAATTTTTTGTTCATGATTATAGCCGGCAATGTTATATAGTAGTAAATGCTGGGTTCTAACGGGACAGCAAGAGCATAAAATTGGAGTAGCAGAGATGAAAATGTTACGATGGATGTGCGGACATACACGTAAAGATAAAATTCAAAATGAGCACGTACGCGAAAAAGTGAGGGTGGCACCTATTGAGAAAAAAATGGTAGAAAATCGGTTGAAATGGTTTGGGCATGTACAAAGAAGACCAAGGGAGGCACCAGTGAGAAGAGTGGAACATATAACTTTGAGTCCGATTAAGAGAGGTAGAAGAAGGCCTAAGAGAACACTCTTGGAAGTTGTCGAGCGCGATCTCTTAATTATTAATATTCCTAAAAGCTTGATAAATGATAGAGCACAATGGCGTCTTGCAATTCATGTAGCCGACCCCACCTAGTGGGATAAAGGCTTGTTGTTATTGTTGTTGTTGTTGATTATAGCCGGTGAACAAATTTAAAAATAAAATATTTTTGTCTTCTATTACTAATAAAAAATATTGATCCACCCATAACGATGGTGATCACGTTTGCTCGTCTCAAGTTAAATGAAGGTGAAGTCTAAACGACATTAAGGATTGTTTGATTGATGTTTTCAAAAATTATTTTCTGTTTTTAAAAATATAAAAATTAAAAAACTCGTTTAGATATATTTTTTAATTTGGATTTAATTGTTTTTAAAACTATTCTCATTTTTGGTTTTTAAAAATAAAAAAATTAAAACATCTTTTTTCATTTTATTTTTTTATTTTCAAAACATATTACATTTGGTTATTGAAAAGTATAGTTGACTTGACTAATTTCTATATAAATTATTACAATTAATTACCTATGACTATCACTATCAACATATTTTTTAATTTTAAAATGATTTTTAAATTAATATAACCAAAGACATTTTCATTTTGTTTGTTTTGAAAAACAATCCTCACACACATATTTTGTTTCTAGAATTTTGTTTGGTCAGTTTGATCTCTGTTTTCATTTTTTTAAAAAAAAATTATTTTATTATATTTTACCAAAAAAATTATTTTATTATACAGTTTTTAAAATTATTTTTTCAAAGAAAATTCATTTAGTTATGTTAATTTAAAAAAATTAAAGTTAAAAAATAGGTCAATAATGATAGTGGCAGCCCGTTAATAGTAATGTTTCATGATAGAAAATGATCAAGTTAGTTATATTTTCCAATAATTAAATGTAGTGTTTTTGAAAAGAAGAAAAATAAAATAAAAATAAATTTAAAATATTTTCATTTTTAAAAAACAAAAAATAAAAACAGTTTTGAAAACAACTAAATCTAAAACCCTTAACCAAATGATTTTTTTTTTAATTTTTTTGTTAAAAAAACAATTTTTTAAAAACCGGAATCAAACATATTCGTAGTATGGTTATGTTTTTCCTTTTTATGTTTCGATCATCAGCTTTCCCATATATCTGTGCGTCACATGTTTGGCTTTTGTCTTGCTCTTGTGTATTTGGTTTGATTTCATTTTGCACTTTGTGACAGGTTTCTCATGACACCTACATATGTTTTTTTTTTTTAATACAAACTGCAATAAAATTTAAGTAGGAAAAAATAATTTCAAATTGTTAAAACTTTTTAATCAAATTTACTCGATAAAGTGTTATTTGCATCGGAAGAATATAATAGCTCTTTTAATGTGCAAGATGTTATCTTCTATACAATTAAGGATAAAATCTAGGAAAAATTATATAAACACCTTTTAAAATTATCACAAAGCAATAGTCAGCACCGCGAAATTATGGAATTATATTTTTAAGACCATGATCCTTTTGTGTAGTTTTAAAAATAAGGAAGACTGACAACTAAGTTTCAAAGGAATTAATTTATTCAATCAAAGTCCTAAGTAATTTTAGAATGTCACGGAGGTTTTTTAGTCTTCAAGTGACATTTTGATATATTAGAAAAAGTCTAAAGCAACCTTGGTAACTTAGATGAAAAAAAAATAATTTTACAATTTTGTTATATTAAATTTACAATTTATTTTTTAAGTTTAACATGGAATACAATTTCATTTAGTTTTTAATTTTGCAACTTTAAATTGATGAATTTAAAACTTATTTTTAAATTTTAAAAATAAATACAAATGTTAATGTTTAAAGTTGAAAAATAACAATCATTATTATAATAACTTTATGAATTTATAAGTTTAATTTTTAATTTTATAACTTCAAATTGATAAATTTACATTTTATTTTTTAAATTTTAAGAGAGAATATAAATATAAATGTTTAAAGTTAAAAAATAACGGTCATTATTTTAACGACTCCACATATATAAAAGTTTGATTTTTAATTTTACAACTTTAACTATTAAATTTGTAATTTATTTTTTAAATTTTAATAATATATTAGGATATTCAAGTCAGTTCGTTTTAGTTAGATTTGTCAAAAAAAAATGCAAAGAAAAATGAGAGGAGGTTTAGGCTCCGTTTGGTTTTCCTCCATTTCAACGTTCAAAAAATAAAATTTTATTTTTAGAAAATTAAAAGTTATTTGGGTAGAATATTTTACAGAAAAGCACATCCTGAAAATACATTCAAATAGTAGCTGAAAGTGGATTTATGAAACGTAACTATTTGAAATTTTTAAAAAGTGAATTTGAAAAGTAGGATGCTATTTGACCATACTACCTTAAGTTTAATCTCTTATTCTTTTATTTAAAAAATAATTAATTTATTAAAAATATAATTATTATTTTAATAATAATAATTAGCTATCAATTTTTTTAGTATTATAAATTAAATAATTAATTATATTAATTTTTAACATTAATGTATATTAAAAATTACAAATCTTTATTACATCTTTTAAAATTATAAATTAAAAAATACAAATAATTAGAGATTAAATTTTTAGCATTATAGATTAAAATTTGTGTTATTTAAAATCTTTATTATATTTTTTAAATATATTATATTTGTATAATAAAAATTATAAATTATTATAAATTAATATCCTTTTTAATAATTGTATACTCAAAAGCACATTTCATTACAAGAACTGAATTTCACTAAACTAATTTTTATTAAATAAATTTTTATCAAATAAATTTTTAATAAACTGAAAACCAAACGCTCATTTAGTAATATATTACCTATCCCTTGCATCGTAGCCGGCAGCATTCGCAACCGTATGGAGTGCGTTCCGCCACTGCAACACCCGATCGCTCCCCCTTGCCGACCTATGCTCGTGTAGTTCCATCGCCCGACCATATCGGCCACTCTGATGACGAACGTCTGACGGAGCCACGCCATAGAATATGGGCATAACACACTGACCTTGGGTTTTTTGACATTCCATTATTTTCACCAGCTCTTCCGGACACCATCTAGAATCTGCATAATTTCGAGAAATAATCACGATCGCAATTCGTGCTCCTTCGATTGCTTGTGATAATGATCGAGAGATCTCTCCTCCCCTCTCAAGCCCCGCATCGTCCATGAAAGCATGGATTCTGGCCCGTGTTAGAGCGGCGTAAAGATGCGAAGTGAAACCATAGCGAGTGTCTTCGCCTCTGAAACTCAAGAAGACGTCGTAAATCCATTTTGGCCGTTTGAAGAAAGAAGTAGAAGACGGAGAAGCCATGGAAGGAATGAGATAGCAGGAAATAAACACCTCAAACGAGCTTTCCTTGGCGAGAGGAAGAGGATCGGGTTGCTTACTTTGGATTCCTAACCACTGCACATAATATATAGATTATGAAATTTAAGTTTTATTGATGATTCAAAATTAAAAATTTATATTGTTTTGAGGTTTAAACTAAAAGTGAATTTTTATTCGAAATCATTCGAGGTTAATCACATATTTAAAAATTTAATTATGAATTAAATTGGGTCTGGAGTCATATAAGACAAAATTACTTTCGGTGTCTTTCGGACTTCGGTTGCGGTGAAAAGAAAAGAAAGGAAGAAAGGAAGAAAGGAAAGAAAGAGGAAAAGAAGAAAAGAAAGAGAAGAGGGAGAGAGGGGGGAAAAAACAAACGCAGTCGGACGCACGTTCATTTTATAATTATTACCTCCCTCCACCGATTATTTCATTTCCGTGAGGCCCACATGGTTAGAGTTAAAAGAATTAAAATGATACTCTCTTTATTTTTAAAATATAAAATATTTTTTAAACGGTTGAATATTTAAAAATATAACATATTTTTAATTTTTTAAAATATAATGATTATTTTTTTAAAAAATATCCTTATAAAATAAATTATTTTATATTTATTTTAAGATGAAAAAGTTTATTAAATAAAGAAAAATATATACTCTTTCGTTCAAAAATATAAAACATTTTTAAGGAGTAAGATGTTAAAAAAATAAAGTATTTTTAATCTTTTAATATGTAATTATTATTTTTTTTAAAAGTGTCTTTATTGATAATGACTTTATATTTTTTTTAGGGCATTTAATAGAGTTAAATATAAAAAGATAAAGTTAGTTTAAAAATAGATAACTATTTTATTAAGAAATGAGAATTAGTTAAAAATATTTTATATTTTTGAATGGAGAGAGTAATTTAACCTATGTATTTTTAAACTTCTCATATATATATATATATATATATTATAAAATCAAACCAAACAAACATACCAATATTTATTATATTTTATATTATGATTGATTTATTATATTTATTAATGATATATTGTTATATATCAATAATAAAATTTTTGTAAATTTTTAAATTTTTAATGATAAAATTCTTATATATCAATGTGAATCGACTATTATAAACACTGTATTTTATTTTTTTTAAATTTAATAAAAATAATGATAAATAACCAAAAAATATAAAAATATAAAAATAAAATTTAATTCTTTTTAAGATTATATTCTCAAAATAAAAAATTAATTTAATTGATTGGACTTAATTTTATTTTAGATAATTTTTTTTTAAACATTTTATTTCTTTTAGTTCATTAAAATAAATCAAAAAATATAAAAATACAAAAAAAAAATTAATCCTTTTTAAGATTATATTTTTAAAAAATATTTGTTTAATGTAAAATTAGATTTTTTAAGTTCCTTAATTCAATTTCAGAAATTAATAAACATAATTTAAAAAAAAAGAGTTATTAAGATTAAAATATATAAACTAAGTCTGGACCTCCATTTGTGTAATGCACGTTACAACACTAAGAGAAAAGCAGAACCAGATGCTGCCACCAGCTGAAAGCACGAAGGGAAAAGCATTCTTGATCAAACGCACACGAAAGTGAATAGAGAGCAGAAGAACCAGACGCCGGTCAAAGACACATAGAGGGCAGAGAGAACGCAGACTCACACAAAAAAAGAAGTCTAGCACGAACGAGAGAGGAGGAGACATGCACAGCATCCTGTAGCTTCAATGATAAACTGAGTTCTCATGAAAAAGCCGGAGAAGGGGGACCAAATTTTTGCTCCTGGAGGCGAGAATGAGGGAGAAAAGGACTGAGACAGAAAAATGAAGAAAAAACAAAGCATAGACAGCGTTCAAAACAGAGCACGAAAATGGAGAGGAAACGGACGAGAAAAGTGAGGAAGGAGAGAGCACGAGAAACAAAAGGAAAATTGAAAAAAATAGATCATAAAAGAGAGAAGAGAAATTGGGGATGTGAGAACAGAGCCAAAGACGTAAAAGAGAGAAGAGAAGAAGAGAAGAAGAGAAGGACCGAAACTGAAGGGTGAGAGAGCACGAAGAAAATAAAACAGAGCACAAAGGAATAGACAAGAGAAGAGCGACGGAGACATCGAGAACGGACGAGGAAAATTGGAGAGGAGAGGCACAGAAGAAAAAACTAGATGAAATAGAGCAGAAAAGGAGAAGGAGAGCATAGGCATAAACGTAACAGTGGGAGGAGAAAGGAGACTAAGATAAAAAAAAATAGAGACGAGAACGAATGGAGAGGAGACTGAGATCAGAGGGAGAGAGTTTTTTTCTAAAAAAACAGAGACTGGAGGAGACCAAGAGTAGAGATCAGAAGCAAAAAAAAAAAAAAACAGAGAGAGACTGAGAGTAGAGGTCAAGATCATCCAGAGAAGCTTATTATTGGTAAGTCCAGGAGTGTGGTTGACGG